GCGTGCGAGAAGACTAGTTCTTTGTTTTGTAAACCGCGAACGTTGTTTTCGACAATCTAACACTGATTTTGTTTAATGTGACTAAGAAAACGCTGTCATTATTTATGTGCGCACTTTGTCAACGTGATTTGAAGTATATTTCAGAATAAGTATGTAACTTTATTTCGTATTTGCCTAAAAACAGTAATTGTCGTAAATGAAACAAAACTGCGTGGCAAATTACCGTGCCAGTTACTCGCCTACACCAGCACCCACATGATTCACAGCTTTGGCTGAGTTTTTTTTTCTGAATTGCCGGTTTATTAGTTTTTTTAAATTAAAGTCTAAAAAACGATTCATCCGGTTTTATAGCGACATTTGATATAGTAAAAACTAATTAGAAAATTTCAATAACGCGTAAAATAATATGTGGATGGAAATTTGAAATTGGAATATTCGTATATTTACTTGCAAATATTCTTATTTTTAAAATGAATTATAACCGGCCATTGAAAAAAAAACCACAAAAAACTTGTTTTCGCTGAACTTTCAGTACTGTCGTATCTATTGCAATAAATGCTATCTATGGCGTAAGACCATTAATAAAAGCACAAAGCGAAAAATATTACTTTAAGAATAAAATATTAGTTTTACGCATACTGATTTTTTATTTTTTCGCCATGTACTATATTTTTACAGACTCAAAATAAGTACATTGTTTGATATAAAAACGTTGGCAACCCTAACCTCAATTCTCCGTAGATGCAAGGGTTCAATGACTCTAGAGATATAGTTTAATCGTGAGCCAGTTGTCAGTTCCTTCAGTTTTAAAAACGAAAATTTTTCATATCAATATATCTATTTATTTATTTAAAAATTTTATTGCACTTAAAATATAGAATTGGTGGATTTAATGGTGGACTCAGTCAACCACGAGCTAAACAGAGAAAATTAAGCAGGTGTCATAAAAAAAATAAAAAAAATGTATGAAAGTTAAAGTTACATCCTATATACGTCCCACTGCTGGCACAGACCTGCTCTCATTTCTGAGAGGGTTTTAAGGCAAGGAGGTATCCGTCGCGCTGCCCCTATGCGTGTTGGCGAACTTCACATACCTTCCAATATTTTATTTATTTCTCGGGCATACAGGTTTCCTCACGATGTTTTCCTTGACTTGTAAATCAGCATTCAGCTCTTAAAATCGCAATTAACAATTTTATTGGTCCACGGGGTTATAACCCGGGTTGCTCGCTTAAGATAAAATTTACAGCGAGCGCTAACCATCTGAGCTACCACGGCACGGCTACAAAATGTATGTATACATGAATATAAATATAAAAACGAGCATAATATACTTATAAATACACTTATATACATACTCGTATTATATTATACACTATATTATATATCTATATTTATACACTATATTTTTATATTTCTACAAATAACCTAAATAATATACTCTATATCTGATACATAGCTTACACAATTTTTTAAATAATACATTATACACACATTTTAAGCGTACTTAAATACGAACATTTTTTATTTTATAGGATAAGTGTGGCAAACGAGCACACAGTCCACCTGATGGTAAGTGGATGCTGTGGTCCATGGACATCTACATCTATCCTCACTTAAGAATCACAATGCAGATGCGTTGCCAACCCTAAGGACTACAATGAAATGCCTCGTTTCCAGTAAAAAGGTTCTCCGGTTCTCTATACTCACCATACGAAACACAGCAGTTGTTTTGAGCTGCTATTTGACGCTGATATTCTGTGAGAGCATGATCCCTTCCCGGTCGAGTCGACCCATTTGGGCTGCAACCATAATATAGCTGCAACATAGTTCTATCACGTAGAAAGCATATACAATATCAGCATATTGTATCATAAGCAAACATTTTCTATCTATCCGTTTAATGTAAAAATAGTAAAACTCACCCTTACGTGCACAGCGTGCTCGTATGTTTAGTTAATAGAATAACTTCAGTAAAAGTCTCCCTCTGCTCCCTAATACAATTAATCTATCCTCGCATAACCTGATTATGATAACGATGTTTCTCCTCAAAGGAAATAATGAGCTAATGCCATCACTTTTGGAACATACATAAAATAACATTTTCTCTTTTAAAAATTTTAATTTTGCGGACTATGTATTGAAATTTAAGACCACCAGACCAGTTGTAACATGAATGGTTCGGCTTGACACAATGGGCAGGAAGGACCACACTCACAAAATACCAGCGTAAAAGTCTATAATATGTTGAGTGTAGAGAACCGGAGCCCCTTTTTTTTTCGGAAATAAGGCATTCCAACTTGATCCTCGGGAGTGACAATGCATCTGCATTTTGATTCTTATTCGAGGATGTAGATGTCTATGGGCCACGGCATCCACTTACCATCAGGTGGACTGAGCGCTCCTTCATCACTCTTATTCTATAAAAAAAATATCACAATCCGTAGTTGCCCTTTTGGATTTTAATTACAGAATCAAAAAATTACTGCAATAATTTCAATAATGAAAGAATTACATATTATACAAAAGTTGTGTCAGATAAAATATGAGAAACTTAACCTTGTCAATAGTCTTTGGCAGTCTGTAATTTTTAAATACAATGGCGGTCGAGATACCTTAATAAGAGTAGGCTCTTATTAAAGTTTATTTTAGTGTTTTCATTACGCCATTTTAGTGTTGACTAGGCATTGAAAGTATTCATTTACAAAGGCTCAATTTACAAGCAGCTATAGCAGATGATCACAGATTATCACGATCTTGAGATTTTACTTCAAATTCTTATCATTATATTACATTCCAACTTATCAGTTCAAACTAAAACTGTTGATATTTTTTAAAATATTGGATTTTCGATATATCAATAAATAAACTTATATATAAAACTCCGATATTGATATATTTATAATTATCAATATATTGAAAATTCAATATTTTAAAAAATATCAACAGTTTTAGTTTGAACTAATCAGTTGGAATGATCAGTTGAACTGACCGTGTGTAGCGTCCATAACATTTTTTAGAATAGATTATTTAGACAAAAATAATTCAAAAAATCGTTTGTGTCTTATAGTTTTTAATTTAAACTTTTATAGGGTTTTACGTTTAGGCGTCGTCCTATTTACCTATCGATCGTACGATTAAACGATGCGATTTCATCGCACGACGAAAAGTATCGTGCGATGCGATGCTCCAACCGGACCATTAGGACACCCCAATAATAGCTCGTGCTATACCCTCCCGATTATACTAGCTTATCTATGGCGATTTCCATCGCGCGAAGACGCGATGCCGCCGCACCGTCACCTCAACGGCGCCATACACAGAGTACTTTTCGTATACCTGACGCCATTTCAACAGTGACTATTTATTGAGATGCACATTTGTTTTACTCGCTTAGGTCTCTACTCGTCTTTAACTCGACTCACCGGTGCCCATGCGTTGCTGCACTCGCGCGATGATGGGTGACCAATTAGGGCGCTCAAAAGAGATTTCTGGCTTTGATTGCACGATCGTACGATCAAACCCATCGTACGATCGTTATTAAGCATTTCTTGTGCTCACACGATCACTTGCAAGCTTCCATTAGGACACTGTATAGAAATGTGTGTGTTTAATCCAGTCGTGCGACGAAATCGCATCGTTTGATCGTACGATCGTTGGCAATTAGGACGACGTCTCAATATATGTTAGCTGTAATTTTCACAATAGCAAAAATTACCTTAGGTTTCGCTTCCGAAACTCCAATCAGTGCTAATTAAAAGATCAAGGATACAGAGTAACGTTTACATATGTATGTGTATAATGAATTGAGTGTCGCTAGAAGGGTCGTTAGTTCTACCTATGATGGTTATTACACGCTCTCACGGAATACCAGTGTAAAATAGCAGCTTAATGCTGCGGTGTTTCGTATGGTGAGTATAGAGAACCGGAGACCCGTTTTACTGAAATCGAGGCATTCCATCTTAGTCCTCAAGGATGACAATGCATCTGCATTTTGATTCTTAATCGAGGTTAAACGTAGATGTCTATGGGCCACAGCATTCACTTACCATCAGGTGGACTGTGTGCTCGTTTATCACCCTTATCTTATAAAAGAATACCTTTCTAAAAGAATACATGATAAAAGGAAATTGTGTGGAATGGATAAGTTACAACTAAATTTCCTAATACCTAAGCCATAAATTTAAGTGCTGTATTAACACCAACGTTATTTTATAGGTACATTTATACGTTTACACGGGTGCTTTATTGTCGATAAACTGCCATAACGCTATTCACCTAGGTGTAGGTTAAATTATTCTATATATTTTTAAACGTGGTAGAGCCATACTAAAGCTATAATGTGGTTATAGCCATTATTTATTCTGTGGTCATAGCACGAAGGGGTCGCCACTTGGCACTGTTTTTTTTTCTTGAAAAGGCTGTCCATCTTGGTCGTCCGGGGTGACAACGCATCCGCATTTTAATTTTTAACTAAGTATACGTGTAGATGTCATCATCTCATTCATTTTGTTTAGTGAAACTCATCAAGCCGGACTGCAAATCACCGTTGGTCAAAATAATTGCTATAATTGTCAGTCTTCGTACAGATGTTTCTCTAATAGTCACCGTTAAGGTATTTAAATATATGTGAATAGTTTTCATAATACAAACTCCGAAGCTCCTCGTGACGCGTCTTTCGAAGCAAAATGAGATCGTACATCGTAAGTCGTAACCGTACACATATTGAAAAGGGATCATACGGTCACTAAATACCTTAGACCACTAAATACGTTCTTGTATACAGGTGATACGTCGTTGTATACGGGTATGATTATTGTTGAACACGGGTATAATACGTTGTTGAAAGAATGTATCGATACGTTTTTGAGGGCGTAGTAGTGACTGCATGTTTTTATCGTGTCTGATACGTTTACGTTTACAGAATGAGCTACTGTAGTGGGCAGAGACGTTAGCTTACCTAAATTCGTTCGTTACAAAGTCGCAACGCATTGTTACAGATGATGACCTTGAGGCACTGCTGGAAGAAGTAATACGGGCTAGCAACCAAGGAGTGTCCGCCTCGAGGAACGTCAGCGGTGGACCGAACTGGAGCTTTGGGCAGTCTCTTTTCTTCTCATCCACAGTGGTCACTACAATTGGTGAGATTTAGTTTTATAAAATACAAATATTTGCGTAATTGATCCATATTTAGTTCAAGTAAACTTAAACTTAGACCAAACACTTGGTAAGGTTTTAGGTGCTTATGTATGCGTCTAGCTAATGTGTGAGTGTCAAGAAGCTTAGCATTGTTTTAGGTGCTCATGTGTGCGTCCAGCTAATGTGTGAGTGTCAAGAAGCTTAGCATTGTTTTAGGTGCTTATGTGTGCGTCCAGCTAATGTGTGAGTGTCAAGAAGCTTAGCATTGTTTTAGGTGCTTATGTGTGCGTCCAGCTAATGTGTGAGTGTCAAGAAGATTAGCATTGTTTTAGGTGCTTATGTATGCGTCCAGCTAATGTGTGAGTGTCAAGAAGCTTAGCATTGTTTTAGGTGCTTATGTGTGCGTCCAGCTAATGCGTGAGTGTCAAGAAGCTTAGCATTGTTTTAGGTGCTTATGTGTGCGTCCAGCTAATGTGTGAGTGTCAAGAAGATTAGCATTGTTTTAGGTGCTTATGTATGCGTCCAGCTAATGTGTGAGTGTCAAGAAGCTTAGCATTGTTTTAGGTGCTTATGTGTGCGTCCAGCTAATGTGTGAGTGTCAAGAAGCTTAGCATTGTTTTAGGTGCTTATGTATGCGTCCAGCTAATGTGTGAGTGTCAATAAGCTTAGCATTGTTTTAGGTGCTTATGTGTGCATCCAGCTAATGTGTGAGTATTAAGAATCTTAGCATTGTTTTAGGTGCTTATGTTTGCGTCCAGATAATGTGTGAGTGTTAAGAAGCTTAGCATTGTTTTAGGTGCTTATGTTTGCGTCCAGCTAATGTGTGAGTGTTAAGGACGCGTTTGCAAATCAACCAAAATTAGGGTGTTTTTCGGTAGATTTTGTGACAAAACTAAACCAAATCAAATATAAGTAAAAACTACCATGTATAGATTGGTTCTTCATCTGCAAATGTGTTAAACTCTTTTGTTGAAAATAGTAGTTTTTTATATTGTAAAAACGAACTTTCGTTGCCATTTTCTACAAAATTAACGATACCGGCTTGTGTTTCGGTATATGTTTTGGTCTATTATCAACATATTTAAAAAAATTTAAAAAATACTATAAGATGACAGACATATTCAATTAAAAAACCCTGAGTTTATTTTTTAACAAAATGTCACAAATAGTCGTAAAAAAAAATAAAAACTGATGCACATTTTTTCACATATTTTGGTAATACGGATGAATCATAATGTATTGCAATAAGGGCTATTTTATTGTTGGTGCCTGCTTTGATTTATTGTACAAAGATTTCGATGAAACCACAGTCCGCGCTCGGCCGCCGTCGTGAGTGGACACTGTATCGCCTGTTTGCAGTGGCTCATTCTGAAAAGATCGCTGTACATACACAAAATATTAGAAAAAAACAAATTGGAAACATAAGTACTTGACAAGTGATAAAATTATTATTTTTATACTCACAGTTTTTTATTTCGCTAAAAATAAGTAGGATATATAAACTTACCTACTACTGCAACTCCTGGACGAGCGGAACTAGGTGTGCCGAGTTTGGGCTCGTTTTGTTGGTTATGATGAGACCTTACCTCCGCACTTGATGGTGTGACCTGAAGGTGTACTTTCGCGACCGCTATTTGAACTTCTTGTAGAGTAAAACTAGGTGTGCCGAGTTTGGGCTTATTTTGTTAGTTATGATGAGACCTTACCACCGGACTTGATTGAGTGACCTGAAGGTCTAAATCGGTGATTGCAACTGGAACTCCTAGACTGGTAGAACTAGGTGTGCCGAGTTTGGGTTCGTTTTGTTAGTTACGATGAGACCTTACCACCGGACTTGATAGAGTGACCTGAAGGGGTAATTCAGTAACTACTGCTGGAATTTCTGAACGAGTAGAACTAGGTGTGCCGAATTTGGGCTTCGTTTTGTTAGTTATGACGAGTCCATACCTCCGGACTTGATGGAGTGACCTGAAGGTGTAATTCAGTGATTACAAGTGGAACTCCTAGACTTGTAGAACTAGGTGTGCCGAGTTTGGGTTCGTTTTGTTAGTTACGATGAGACCTTACCACCGGACTTGATTGAGTGACCTGAAGGTGTAATCAGGTGGTTACAAATGGAACTCCTAGACTAGTAGAACTAGGTGTGACGAGTTTGGTTTCGTTTTGTTAGTTACGATAAGATCTTACCACCGGACTTGATGGAGTGAAATTCCGCACACCTAGTTCTACTGGTTCAGAAATTCCAGCAGTAGTTACTGAATTACCCCTTCAGGTCACTACATCAAGTCTGGTGGTAAGGTCTCATCATAACTAACAAAACGAACCCAAACTCGGCACACCTAGTCCTACAAGTCTAGAAGTTCCACTTGTAATCACCGAACTATACCTTCAGGTCACTCCATCATGTCCGGTGGTAAGGTCTCATCATAACCTACAAAACGAACCCAAACTCGGCACACCTAGTTCCACCAGTCTAGGAGTTCCAGTTGCAATCACCGATTTACACCTTCAGGTCACTCCATCAAGTCCGGAGGTATGGACTCGTCATAACTAACAAAACGGAGCCCAAATTCGGCACACCTAGTTCTACTCGTTCAGAAATTCCAGCAGTAGTTACTGAATTACCCCTTCAGGTCACTCCATCAAGTCCGGTGGTAAGGTCTCATCATAACCAACAAAACGAACCCAAACTCGGCACACCTAGTTCCACTAGTCTAGGAGTTCCTATTGTTGTAATCACCAAATTACACCTTCAGGTCACTCCATCAAGTCCGCAGGTAGGTAAGGTCTTATTATAACTGACAAAACCAGTTCAAAGTCCAGAGCTAACATCTCACTACCAGTAGAGGGCTTCCAGTGCCAAGCAGTCTTTGGAGCAGGTATTCATATTTCGTATCGAAGTATATTTCTGAGGTAGGTATAAGAAATGAAAAACAAATTCAATCTTTCAAATTATCAAAATAATTTCATTTGACTACGATTCCCACAGCCAACCGTGCGTACACTAGTGTGTGTGTGACTTTTGTCAATGTAGTAGTGCGATTCTATACCTATCCATTTTGTAAACGCGTCCTTAAGAAGCTTAGCATTGCTTTAGGTGCTAATGTATGCGTCTAGCTAATGTGTGAGTGTTAAGAAGCTAAGCATTGTTTTAGGTGCTTATGTATGCGTCCAGCTAATGTGTGAGTGTTAAGAAGCTTAGCATTATTTTAGGTGCTTATGTATGCGTCCAGCTAATGTGTGAGTGTTAAGAAGCTAAGCATTGTTTTAGATGCTTATTTTTGCGTCCAGCTAATGTGTGAGTGTTAAGAAGCTAAGCATTGTTTTAGGTGCTTATGTATGCGTCTAGCTAATGTGTGAGTGTCAAGAAGCTTAGCATTGTTTTAGGTGCTTATGTATGCGTCTAGCTAATGTGGGAGTGTTAAGAAGCTAAGCATTGTTTTAGGTGCTTATGTGTGCGTCTAGCTAATGTGTGAGTGTTAAGAAGCTAAGCATTGTTTTAGGTGCTTATGTATGCGTCTAGCTAATGTGTGAGTGTCAAGAAGCTTAGCATTGTTTTAGGTGCTTATGTATGCGTCTAGCTAATGTGTGAGTGTCAAGAAGCTTAGCATTGTTTTAGGTGCTTATGTATGCGTCTAGCTAATGTGTGAGTGTTAAGAAGCTAAGCATTGTTTTAGGTACTTATGTGTGCGTCCAGTTAATGTGTAAGTGTCAAGAAGCTAAGTATTGTTTTAGGTGCTTATGTATGCATCCAGCTAATCTATGAGTGTCAAGAAGCTTAGCATTGCTTTAGGTGCTTATGTATGCGTCTAGCTAATGTGTGAGTGTCAAGAAGCTAAGCATTGTTTTAGGTACTTATGTGTGCGTCCAGTTAATGTGTGAGTGTCAAGAAGCTAAGTATTGTTTTAGGTGCTTATGTATGCATCCAGCTAATCTATGAGTGTCAAGAAGCTTAGCATTGCTTTGGCATCATTTGTCATTTGAATGTACGCAGCGCTCCCACTATCTTTCTTTGTTGGTCTGGGAGCGCCCCTGAGCTGCCAGAAGTATTCTTGTAAGTCCAGTAGTTCATTTTCATAACAAGAAAGATTGAGGGTCATCCTGAACATGTCAATAAAAGTTAAAAAAGTTAAAGTTGCAGCCTATATACGTCCCACTGCTGGGCACAGGTCTCCTCTCATTTCTGAGAGGGTTTTAGGACAAGGAAGTGTCCGCCGCGCTGTCCCAATGCGTGGTGGCGAACTTCTCATGTCTTCGATTTTTTTTAATTTTACTTATTTCTTAAACATGCAGGTTTTCCTCACGATGTTTTCCTTCACCGCCGCGCACGTGGTAAATCACTTAATTTCATTGGTGCCGGTGGGGATCGAGCCTCTAAAATATATACATTTCTCTAAAATGATATATATATATATATATATATATAAAATAAAAATATATATATATATTTAAATCTAAATAATATGTTAATGATTGAACTAAATTCTCGTTTCTGTTCTAGGCTACGGACATGTTACCCCTCTTTCAAAACCTGGCAAGCTGTTCTGCATGGTATATGCTTTACTCGGAATACCATTGACGTTGGTGCTGCTGTCTGCATTGGTGGAACGTCTTCTACTGCCCGCTACGGCGCTACTACGGTCCCTCAATGCAGCACTTGGGCACCTATACCGCCCCTTCACGATACGCCTTGTGCATCTGGTGATTATTGGTAAGTAAAATGGTTTGTAGACGTAGAAAGAATGACTTAGGAACAGTGATAAAGCTTTATGCTGCAGAATTAAGCTGCAGAATTGAACAAAGGACGCTTCTTACGGAAGTTTATTAACCAAATTGGTGACGAGCATGTGTATGTGTGTGAATATCAAATATATGGATGTGACGACAGAATATTGTCAAGATCAAGACAAATGGAAGTCCTTAGTCTCTGCTTACCCATCTCGGTGGTAGACGTGAGAGTTTGTATGTATAAATGTTGTACGTATATTTTTTCTTATTTAAAAAAAAACACATGGATTTTCTCCTATATCGTGGAGGCAGTTTACATACATAAAGTACACAAAGAAAAACATCAAGACCAGGAACAATTATTTGTAGATCATCCAAATACATGGAAATTATCGGAATTCGAACCCGCGGTCGTGGGGAGACTGAGGTATTCGAAGTCCCTATGTTATAGTAAACCACAACTACCTTCAGATTAAGATTATTAATTTTGCACAACATTTGTTATTAGTTATGACATATTTTAACTTATTTTTATATAATAAATAATGTGTAATAACTAGCTGTTCCCGCGACTTCATTCGCGTGGAATTTATTACGATGGATTTTTCATGAGTTTTAATTTTTTTTGCGCGGAACCTTAATTATTTTCTTAAATAAAATTAGTCCAAATTACTTCTTATAACATCAGCTATCTATCAGTATAAGTCCCGTCAAAATTGGTTCAGCTGTTTCTGAGATTAGTCAGAATAGAGAGACAGACAGACAAAAATTAATTTATTTTTGTTACAACTACCCTATTTTCATATGCATTTAGTAAAAAGCTATTATTTTGATATTCAAACAGACTCTCCAATTTTATATATTTGTATAGATATATATTACGAATATAAAAATGAATATTAAAAAAAACTTACTATAAGCGAAAAAATCCGTAAAAACTAATTTTATTTTAATGTGAAGTGTTCGCGTAAACACAAAAAATCAAAATTTAATTCAATTTCAGTGATGATATTCGTGGTATTCTTCATCCTGGTGCCAGCGGCGATCTTCGCGAGCCTTGAGCCCGAATGGGATTTCCTGGATTCATTGTACTATTGCTTTATTTCGTTGACGACCATCGGCCTCGGCGACTACATCCCCGGTGATTCACCCGGACAACCCTACCGACCTCTGTACAAGGTGGCCACTACAAGTAAGTTAAATTACTTATAACTAAAAAGTAAAAACAATGTTAAACATTAGACATAATGTCTCATGATATATAGGTAATGCCGGTCATGTCAGGTGACAACTGAGGTCACTCTAGGTCATATGTTCACAATGAAAATTTTTTTTCATTGAAGGACTCGAACAGTTATATACTTTTGCCAATGTCAAGTTATAGGAAAGCCTTTGGTACTTTTACATTGTAAATTTTTTACAATCATATTGCGGAGATTTTGAAAGATTTTGACGACAGCTTAATCCATCGGACAGTCGCTGACGACAGTACCCCAAGTTCATATTTGTCTGCTATCTGTTACTAGCATATTAAGTGCAAATTCTTATTGCTAAAAAAATCTCCCAATCATTATGTTATAGGTACTTGGCTTTTATAAATTATAATTTAATAAATAACTTATAGAAGAATATTATCGCAGATATAATATACTATTGTATTACATAAATTCATTTTTTTATAAACTTATGCATGTATGTAATATTTTTCCAGAAACATGTGCCTAGAAGAAAAATATCAGCAATGTTAAAGCCAAAAATAACTGACGCATTCATTTTTCAGTATACCTAATCACCGGGCTGACGTTCCTCATGCTGACGCTCACCGTGTTCTACGACATACCGCAGCTGAATCTCAGCACGGTGTTCTCGTCGATAAAGCTGGACGAAGACCCCGAGAAGATGCGGCTTAGTGGCTCGGGTGCGGGACCCGGATACGGAATCGGAGGCCTAGTAATGCGCGACGACTACGGACATGATCAGCGCCGCTCCGTCGTCCACATCCGGCCCCATCTCGACGACAGCCCCAGTCCTGAAGACACCACGCCAGTACACGCGCGAGACATTCGAGTTCATTAAAAAATATATATGCAAAATTTTTTTTCTTTGTCACCTTAATTGACTCTTAAACGTTTTGGGCAGTGTTAAAGTCAATAAACTTAGTATCATAAATATACCAACCCAAACAATAATAATAAAAATAGCATTTGGCCCCATCTTTCATGAAAATAACAATGACTGTACACGCGCGAAACGTTTAAGGTGGATAAAATGAAAATGTGTGTTTTTTTTTTTAATTGTAATGACAACCGTGTCAAACACTTTCCAGCTAATGTCAAAGATCACAATTAAAATCCGTGAACTTCCTAAGCATTATTCGCTTCAGATATTAGAAGCCGATTGCAAATGCCAGACGAATAGGATTCTAATTCTAACGCATGCAGATGCAGAATGTGTAATAAAATTTAAATTTTCTCCTAAGGTATCGTATTTTGGAAATTGTATGTTTGGCATATTTAGATAATCGTAACATATTATTAAGATAATGGGTATAGAACTTGACATGTGTTTATTTTAAATTTCGCATTGTTTGCACAATTCATTTAAAAATATTTATATATTAATAATTCAAATGAATAGCAGAGATTCTAAAATTTTAATTAGTAATCTCAATATGTCTAAAGAATATATAAAAGAGAGTAACTAAAAATATATATAATAACCTTATGTTTTGGGAAACCATGTAGGTATGAAAATATAACTAGCAATGTAATAATATAATTCGTGCTTTACCACAAAAATTATATGTAATTAGTGTGTTGTATTCACGTCAATAACTACTTTGTTAATAAAACTTCATATTTAAATAAAAAATGCAAAATTTACCGTCCCTTTAAGAATCAAATTATACTTTACTTCTTCAAAATCTCGATTAATCGAGAAAAAGGCCTTTCTTCGTATGGTAATCAATCGAACCTGGTTCGCGATAAGACTGAAAAAGGTTTTTCAAATTTTCACACTTTTCTATTCAAACTGTTATTTTTTCTACGCGTAAAGGGTATATAATACATGACCCAAGTATCGCAAAGTATACGCCTACAGAAACTGTACAAGGACCGAAAAAAGATTTAATCTCAAATATATCAATGGCATATCAATCAAAAATCAACTACATTTATTAATATTTAGTAAAAATATTGGATTCAAATTCCTTATCGGTAGAATCTTGCAAGTACATTTTATTCAGGAAAGAGAAAAAAAACTTGAAAATTACACATCAAAAACTATAACAAGTCATAATAAATTTTATAACTAATAATTTATGGTATGTAAGAAAAATTACAAAATATAAATTTTAGTAGTTCAAAATCCTATGTAGTCAAAGCTTAAAATGAGTTGGTCTAATATATATGCATATATAGATAGAAGCCGAAACGCGATTACACATAGGTTCAGTCGGCTAAACTATGTGTTTTCTGATAAAACTAAGTATAGTAAAGTCCAAATGATAATTAAATTGACTATAACTACTAACAACTTTGCCAAAGACACGAAGCGTCTGTTAAGTAATATCAGCTGCAGTCGGCTATTAACTAAGACTTGACTGACTTGCCGAAAGCACATATCAATTAATATCAGTGACATTGGGTTAAAGCCTACGGCCAAAACCGCGGACAATTATGTTATTTATAGATTATTTAAACAAATTGCTGCATCTAGTTATAGCCCGCCTAAACCTAGCTGTAACCGCACTTCAGCTTTTAACTAAAACATATATACATAAATGAATGTTATATTAAAAATAAAGATATTAACTATTGTAAAATGATATGTCTAATTAACGTTTCATATAAATATCTAAGATGATATATTATGTGGTTATCGATATTTTAACGCAAATGTAAAAAATATAAAAAATATCGCTGTAGTTATTTAGAAACATAAGTTTTTCTAATCTCTTTCTTCATTACACTACCTTAATTTCCCATTCAGTTAATTATTAAGTATTTTTTTAAAAATAAGACAGGAAATAACTGAAAACGTTAAAAAACCAAATAACCACTGACAATATTAGTTAAACTTACGAAGAGATAATTATACAAATATATATTACATACGTAATTAAATATATATATATATATATATATATATATATATATATATATATATATATATATATCACAAATTATTTTTTTAAATAATTTTTTTCATACACTTCATTTCTTTTGTACTCTTTTATCATAAAAAAACTATGACATATTTTTAAATCTCGACAACACTGACTTGTGCAGTGCAGTTTAGAGAAACTTGCACCAAAATGTTAAACGACGAAATCTTCTGAAAAGTTTTAATAACACAGTGTTGTCGAATTTACTTAGATAATCAATTACAGGGAACATCATAAATGGACCTCTGTTAATTTTATTTGCTTTATAATTCTTGACTATAGGATATTAAGAAATTATAAATGTCTACAATGTGAATCAATGTATCAATTTAGAAAAATGTCACACTAAATATATTAGGAAGATAAAAATATTTACAAATGAAATTATCATGTAATACGTATAGTTACATTATACTTAAATGGAAATTATATAATATGTATTAATAGAAAATAGATTGTAGTGAATAGCGAAGTTGTAACACAAAATGCTCTTATGTAGTAAAAAAATATTAGATCCAAATAACAATTATATCTGAAAAACTGAATTAAATACTTGTATGATGATTTTTCTGTGTTATTTACAATCTTAGAACTATACAACATTTAACAAAAATTTTCTTTGACAATTACTCCCGGGGATAATAAACCCACATACAATTTGGAAATAAAAATTTATGTAAATTTAATTTAGTATTTTTACGGTCGAGTTTTCTCAAGTTAAGTTGTCTTTATATACGTTTGAATACTGATTCTGATAACGGACCTTATGGAAATAGTAAAAATGTATTTGCTGCTTTTAAAAGTGTTCTCCATTACAACACTTTTTCATTCGTTCAAACCTTTTTAAAAAACATAAGGATCATTAGTCCGACGGCATTTTTTTCAGGTACTGGTTAAAAACTATCACGACCTCTTTTGGCTCCGTAAAGATCTGGACTGTGTGCAGGATGGTTCACGAGCTCTACCTTTTCAGAAGCCAAAAATGACTTTGTTCTGTTTCACTGTGTGTGCCTAAGCATTATTATTGTGCAATAGAATGCGACTTCTCTGTCGTATTTCCCTAAATTTCTCAAAATCCTTGGGCAAATAAATAGTAGTGAGTAGAAGAAAAATCGGCTAAGTGCGAGTTGGATTCGCCCATTTAAGGTTCCGTGCCATAGCAAAAACAAGTTTCTAGTAGGGTAGCCCCTTTAATATTTAATTTACTTTCATTTTTATTGTTTGTTGTTATAGCTTGAATAGAAAATTTTCAACCTATTACAGATCATGAGATACAGCCCACGGACAGACAGACGGACGGATTTACGGACGGACAGCGGAGGCTTAGTGATAGGGTCCCGTTGGTTAACATTTGGGTACCGAACCCTTAAAACGTAATCATATTTTTGTCCACGCTTCCTCCACGCCTTAATTTTGTTGGCTTTCTGTCGCCTTCGACACCCATACAGAAGAATGTTGTTAACAATATATCCATGTATCATCTGTCGTACACATTCGAACGTCTGTGACCACATACTTTAACTCCATTTATTACACCAATAAACGCGAGCCCGTTATAGTTCCCCCGTTTTATACGTGGTAGAGCTATGCTACAGTTATACATATTAGTAGTATAGTTGTAGCACGTATAGGTCGGCTCGACCGGGGAAGAACCACGCTCTCACAGAATACCAGCGTAAAATAGTAGCTTAATGCTGCTGTGTTTCGTATGGTGAGTGTAGACGACCGGAGAGCCTTTTTTACTGGAAACGAGGCATTCCATCTTAATCCTCACGGGTGACAACGCATCTGCATTTTGATTCGTATTCGAAGATAGATGTAGATGTCTATGGGCCACAGCAACCACTTACGTGAACTGTGTGCTCGTTTGTCACCCTATCCTTTATATAAAAAAAAAGTTCTGAGGTGATTTTATGAGGAATTCAGTATCTACAAAGTTTCTAAATCAGTCAGAGTTGTAACCCTAAGGGCCACGCAGTGGCGGCCCTAGGGCGGTTCAACCCTTTGAACTAAATTGTACTTAGTATCCCGATGGTGCGGCTACACCAGGCGCCGTTATCGCGGGGGTGCCGTAATCAACCAAAACACTACCGGACGCCGGTCACTAATTCAATCACTTTTATCACTATTATTCCGTTTTGTTGACGCTAATTAGGAAGTCAAGCTTGAGTACTTTGTTGCTTACAAGCCAGTAAGTGACTCTTCTAAAAAGGACTTACTGGCCTCTTTCTTGATGCAATTGTACAAGTGTTTGACTTAGACGTGAAAGACTATCGAGGTCAAGGGTACAATAATGTTGCGAATATGGCAGGAAAATTAAAGGTGTCCGAACCAGAATTTGACTCAATATTCTCGGGCATTTTTTGATCCATGTGGTAGAGGTTGTTAGAAGTTAATTTGTTCATATTAGCGTAATAAAATAAAATTATGGGTCCTACCCAGTCTGAAGAGCACCACACAATCCCGCTCATTTACACGCACTATCCCCGTAGTCACCACTCCCAATACCACCACACGCAACACCACCATACTAGGAACGACACACCACTCTCGATAATACCATACGTGTTTCCCCTCTACACGAGTCATCCACAGGTGAAGTAGTCTCTGCGGTGACTGAAGGTTAAGTGAGCGGCGAGCCAAAACAGTTGCTATTTTTACAACTCGCTGATCAACGAGTTGTATAAATAGTAGCGTGTGGAGAGCGGAGAGAGTGCTAGGATTGGTGGTGATGTGATTAGTGGTGATAAAGATAGTGTCAGCCTTCGCAGAGTCTACTTCATAAGGCAAAACACATTCGTGTTACCAAGGGTGGTGTGTCGTTCCTAATGTGGTGTTGCTGGGAGGGATGGCGCTGGGAGTGGTGGTGCTGAGAGTGGTGGTAAAGGAGATAATGCACGCAACTGAGAGA